CCCATACGTGCCTGTGCAGTCTGTCCTTGTTCCCTCGACTTCTCCATTCCTTGAAGTGTTCCACTCTCCCTGGACACACTGTCGGTCGTGAGTCCTCTTAGATGTCTTGTCTTCCAAGTGTCTTTAACTTCTTCTTCCCCAACTGGTAATTCTCGTCCATATTTCTTATTTCTCCCCCCTCCCCCCAAAAAACTTTTTAACTTCTTCTTACAAAGAGCAGTTTGGCCTTCCTCGGGGCCCTCCTGCTCCCCCCCCAACCCCCCCCCCCCAGTTCTCAGTATAGCAGAGGTCTCACCTGCGGCTACACTGACAAAGTCTTTTCCTTCCCTGAGGAGCAGAAGGCTCCGAGCCCAGGCCTGCATTGGTCAGTGAGCTAGCTGGAGTAGCATTCCAAGTGTAGTGAAGAGGCCCTGTGGAGACTGAGTGTTCATTACCCACAGTAGGTCTACTGTAGCTCTTTGTCTGGTGACAGTTCTTTTATGTCTGCAGACTGTCTATTGTCCTAAGATGAGGAGGATGGGTCCAAATTGTGCTCTATCTGCACCTCTCATGTTGCCCTTTTAACCACCAAACAGTATAATATTAGCATAAACATAGACCTACAGAAAATAGCATAAAGTTGAGAATCTGGAGATAAACCTGCATTCACAATGGGTTGACTTCCAGTGGGGGTCTAAAGAGCAATCGGTAAGGCAAGGGTAGCTTCTTCCACACACGGACTGGTGTTCACTGGCTATCTGCACACAAAGAATAAAGTTGAGGGCTGGCAAGATGACTCAGTGGGTGAGGGTGCTTCCTGCCAAGCTTCAAGACCTGAGTGCAATCTCCAGAGTCCAGGGAGTGGAAGAAGAGAACCCACTCCCACAAGTTTCCTTCTGACTTCCGGATGTACACCACGGCACGTGGACATCCTACACACAGACCATTAGATACACACATGTAAAATACACACCACGGCACATGCACATCCCTACACACAGACACATTAAATACACACATGTAAAATACACACCACGGCACATGCACATCCTACACACAGACCATAAAATACACACCACGGCACATGCACATCCTACACACAGACCATTAAATACACACATGTAAAATACACACCACGGCACATGCACATCCCTACACACAGACCATTAGATACACAAATGTAAAATACACACCACAGCACATGCACATCCTACACACAGACCATTAAATACACA